TATTATGAGCGATATTTTCTTTACATTGTGTGTACATTTATACAATTAATACAATCTATACTGCCCCATGGTTAATTCATACTGACATATATTTTTAAGACCAAAAATTATGATAAATGCATTTGACTTGACTATTAAAACTGTTCTATCGCCATTTAATAATATAACCTAACCTGTACATTCAATTTTACAATTCCAATAACTGTTAATTACTACTTATGAACTATTATTAAATATTTATTATAACCTATTCATTGCCTTAAATTAATATTTTGTCTTACTAACGAAAGTTCAATTAATGTGGACATATGCATACATACATACATACATACATACATGCATACATACATAATACTAATGTACTTATATATATCATATATATATGATGAGAGTAACTGTGTACTATAACTAATAGTTTTTTTTTATACTTTCACCTACACACTGTGTTCTGTTAGTGAAGTAATTAAAAAAACTTTACCTCAACAGAACAATTTTATTTTACTTATTAGTTTTCCCTTTTGTCATTTGACTTAACTATTTAATGTGTAATCAAATTTGACAACTGCTTCAGAACCATTTTCTATGAGATAATTTAAACTAAGCTCTGTGCTTTAACCACTTACTCTGTGTTACTAGGTACTTGAATAAGTTTTATTACATTTATAGTAGTTATAAGTATATAGGTAAGAAAAATATTTTTTAGGGTTAGGTTAGGATATTTAAAGCACGACTACATTATAATAATATACACATACACACTGTGTTCTGTTAGTGAACTAATTAAAAAAACTTTACCTCAACAGAACAATTTTATTTTACTTATTAGTTTTCCCTTTTGTCATTTGACTTAACTATTTAATGTGTAATCAAATTTGACAACTGCTTCAGAACCATTCTTTTGCTATGACTAAACATATTTTAAACTGCGCTCCTATTGTTTTAACTAATATCTGTTTGACAAATATGCTTACAATATAGTTAATTAAACAATTGACATTAAATATACAACTGTACTTTTTGATTTAATTATTACTTTATTACTAAAGTTACTATTACTATTACTTTATTATTAAATTATTACTTTAAAGTTGTATACTTAAATAAGTTTTATTACAACTAGCAATAAAAACATAAATCAGAATATATATAACATAATATATCAAAATGTAAAACATAAATAATATAAAATAAAAAGATATAAAAATTTTAGAACTATGAAGTAACGCTAAAACATTTTTACTCTGCCATTAATACAATTAATTAATTGATAAATAAATATGTGATTTAAAATTGAATTACACTAACCGCCTATTAATTTATAGGTAGTCGGACGGCAACTGGTGCCAGGCGTGGCTGAAGAGCCTGAAGGTGGAGACCCCGTGCAAGTTTCACCTAACCTTGTGGACGAAAACGCCATGATGGACGACCACATTGAAGTTGTGATGGAAGACGGCGTTATGGACGGAGACAATGTGGAAGAACATGAAGACGTGGAGAACATGGAAGTCGTGATGGAAGACGAAGACAATGTGGACTACATCATTGAAGTTGTTATGGACGAAGACAATGGGGAAATTGTTGACGTGGACAACATGGAAGTCCAGATGGACGACGAAGTTTTGCCGGCGGACGTCGAGATAGTCGATGTCCTGCCCGGTGAACTCGAGTTCATGGACATTTTCGAAGACTTCAACCCTGAAGTTGCTGTTGAACTACCAAGAGTTCATGCGCCACAAGTAGACAGGCCAGCCAGCGTTCGACACCCACTTCCGGATCGGCACGACATCGGGCCGTTGAATGAAGTCTGCAGGCACTGTGAGGCCCGTCACTTCAACTGTGAACGCACTTTGAGGGGTCATTTCACATTGTGTTGCAACAACAATCAGATGGTGATTCCTGAAGGACCCCGTCGGTTGCAACAAGCACCTGAATTGCTACAGAGTTTGTTGGTAGACGACTCACGGATAGCAACCCAGTTCCGTAGAAACATAAGACGGTACAACAACACTCTTGTGTTTGCCGCCTTCTCCACTGACCTCAATCAGAGAAGATTGCCTGGTCGCGGACCGAGAGTGTTCACTGTACACGGGCAGGTGTATCGAAGGATCACCAACGACGTCGTCAGAAACGACGACAGACCCCCAAGTTACTGTGAGCTCTATTTCATTGAATCTGGGGAAGCAAACCGGGTTCGCATGAACCAGAACCACCAGGGTGAGCTGAACGAGACTGTGCTTACAGACTTGGACACGATGCTGAGGCAAACCAATCCATTTGCCATGGCGGTCAGCAACATGAGAGCAGTGTGGCTGGAGGAACAGAGAATTGCCAACGCCGATCCTCTGGTGGAACCCAGGAGAGTCACCATGCACTTGGTGGCTGACCCAAACAGTGACCCAAGGCGGTACAATCTACCGCCAAATCAAGTCAACGAAGTTTCGGTCGTGTTTGCTGGAAACAATGGCCAACCGCCGAGAAACCTCGACCTGGTGGTGTTCGACTCGAATCCAGTGAACCCACAACACAGGATGCAAAACTTATCATACGGCTCCCAGCACGCAGATCCAATGCTATACCCCCTGTTGTTCCCACACGGTGAACTGGGTTGGCATTTCGAACTGCGACAAGATGATGGTGGCCGGAAAAATGCTGTGCGCACACGCAACACTGTCAGAGAATTTGTGTGTTACCGTCTGGCCATTCGTTACGAAGGAACTAACGACCACAGGCATCAAAAATTCAGTCTGGTACACCGTGCGTGCTGGTTATCTGTTTCAACAGTACGTCTGTGAACAATACGTACGAATGGAAACAAACAACATACGGTTCATTGAACGCAATCAGGGAGCCCTGTTTGCCGAAGCGTATCAGGGCCTGGTGGATCACATCAACCAGCAGTTGCACATCGAAGAACCTGCCCCGGTTGGACGCAGAATGATTTTGCCGTCGACCTTCACTGGAGGTCCGCGTTACATGAAACAGAGCTACCAGGATGCAATGACCATAGCGCGCAAGTACGGCAAACCCGACCTGTTCATTACCTTCACTTGCAATCCTGGGTGGCCTGAGATCGCCAGCAACAAAGGAAATCATGCAGTTGCAGGTGACAGACCCGAACTGGAGGCAAGAGTGTTTCACGCCAAACTCAAGCAGCTCATGTCAGACATAACTGAGAACAGAGTGTTTGGTAACGTAGACGCATATGTTTACACTGTTGAGTTTCAAAAACGCGGTCTGCCACACGCACACATACTCATCATCCTTAGCGATGGCAACAAGCTGCTCACAGCCGAGGATGTAGACGATGTCGTGTGCGCTGAACTGCCAGACCCAGCAGACGAGAACAATCAGAGACTATTCACAGCTGTGACGAGTCACATGATACACTTACCATGTGGGTAACTGAACCGCGACAGTGCAGAGACAGTTTACGTTTCTGACGGCGGGTACCCAACGTACCGTCGACGAGACAACGGGATCGAGGCCCTCGTGAGGGGACACCAGGTCAGCAACGAGTTTGTAGTTGCCTACAACCCGTACCTGCTGGCCAAGTACGATGCACACATCAACGTAGAGGTGTGTTCTACTGTGAAGAGCGTAAAGTATTTATACAAATACGTCTTCAAAGGCCACGACATGGCTACAGTAGAAGTCCAAGACAGAAATGAAATTGAAAAGTAAGCATCTGTTAATTTATTTCTTCATATACTATAACTGTTTTAACTCATAAGTAATTCGACTAAATAAAATAAAAAAGTTATTTTAAAAATGTGGCATACTTGGACAACGAAACAAAAGTTCTTTATTAACTTTGATGTATAACTCCTTAAATATTGTTACTATGATTTAAAAAAAAAACACTTATACTCAACTTATATTTTTAAATATTTATTTGTTTGTTGTTTTTATATGCAAATTAACAATATACTATAAAATAATGGTTACTTTTCGATTACTATGTTTTTGATATTAATGTTACATAATTAATTCATACAGTAGTACACTGACCTTAAAAAATTATTTTATTTAATTTTTAAATTTTATTATTTTTATAAGTTGACATTGTAAATTTTTTACATAATATAATTATCTATATGGATGTAATATAAATAACTATATTTAATTGACATTCACAGCTATTGAGCAACGCACCTAAGTTAGACATAGGCTCGATTATGTGGTTAAATAGTAAATATATAACATACTATGTAGTATTTACTTGATTATGACAAGTTTTTAGGTGATTCGTTTATATAAATTTAGTGTAGCATACAAATACTGCTACAGATTCTAAATAATACAATATTAATAAACAAAATAGAACTTTACTTACCTATTTAATTAAAGTCTGAAAATTAAATTGTATAATGATATGACTATATACTATTTAATAAAACTTATATAGATAGAGTATTATATAAAATAAACTAACTAATAGATCTAATAGAACTAATCAAATTCTGGCAGTTAAATTGTATAATATAAATTTTATTTTTGTTATTTATTAAAATGTATTATTATTATTATTATGACTACTCATAACATTATTGTGTATTAATCGAACGAATTTTGTTTGTTTCAGTTACATCAATGCTCGGTACGTCAGTCCGCCAGAAGCAGTTTGGCGACTGTTTTCGTACGAGTTGCATAAGCCGAGTCACAGGGTGATCAGGCTTCCAGTCCATCTGGAAGACTACCACACGGTGTACTTTGCTCCGGGACAAGAACTGGAGCGTGTGCAAAACGCAGCGGTGGCCCGAACAAGACTCACGGCGCTCTTCTCGCTCAACGAGACGGACCCCGAGGACAGACAGTATCTATAACATGAGATACCGATGCATTACACCTGGGTGGAAAGATACAGGAGGTGGAATCGGCGCCAAAGGGTAATGGCCAACGAGACGTTGTCTCGGATGTACGCGGTCAACCCCCTAGATCGATAGCGATTCCTCTTGCGACTGCTGCTGCTGCACACGAGAGGTCCTCAGTCGTTCAGAGACATGAGGACCGTCGACGGGGTCGTGTATCCGACCTACGCGGCGGCGGCGGTGGCGCTTGGACTCCTGGAGGATGACCAAGCCCTGCTAGCGTGCATGACAGAGTCCGCGGCCGTGGACACTCCCGCACAGCTGCGTTACCTACTGGTGACGATCCTGCTGTACTGCGAGGCCGCGGATCCGCTGGCGTTATACATGGCAAGCGAGGAAGACCTGAGGCAAGACTTCTTCCACAGCCTGAGAGACGAGGACCGCGCGAGAGCCGCGTGCCTGGACGCCATCGGGTGGCTGCTGCGGGGTCACGGTAAAACGCTGGCCGACTACGGGTTGCCGAATCCGGACGTCGCGCTGCTCGAAGAGGACGCGGGAGGAGACGTCTACGCCTTCGTCGACGCAGTGGTGCGTTGGACTCTGCAGTTGGACAACCTCAACGACGAACAGCGGGCGGTTTACGACCGCGTGATGGCGGCCGTCGACGACAACCGCGACGTCCCGAAAATGTTCTACGTCGACGGGCCCGGTGGTACTGGGAAAACGACGCTTTACGGCTGCCTAATATGGTCGCTCCGCAACATGGGCAGATCCGTGTTGTCTGTGGCGTTCACGGGAATAGCGGCGACGCTCATGGACGGTGGTATGACCGTTCACTCGACGTTTGGTTTGCCCTTCGGTACACTCAACGAAGATTCGACGTCGTCCATCGCCATGCAGTCTCTGCGCGCGCATAGGATACGGGAGGCGGCACTCATCGTCTGGGACGAAGCGCCCATGTCTCCGGGGCTCCAACTGACGGTGGTCGACCGGTTGCTAAAGGACATAATGCAATCGGAACTACCGTTCGGTGGTAAGACGGTTCTATTCGCAGGTGACTTCAGACAGATACTGCCGGTGGTCCGCAGGGGGACGAGGGCCGCGATCGTGGCGGCTTCAATCAGGCACCACCATCTGTAGGACGTCTTCGGGCGTTTCAGCCTGACGCAGAACATGCGGGCCAACAACGACGCGGACTTTGCCGCCTGGTTGCTTCAAGCTGCCCGCGGTCGACGGAAATGTGAACACCGTCGAAATCCCCAGGAATATGGTATGTGACATAGCTAATTTGATTGATTTTGTTTACCCGCAGCAAATGTCGTTGGCTAACGTCGACGACTTTGCTCGGAAAATTATTCTCTGTCCCCGGAACGAGGATTGTAGACAGGTCAATCGCACGGTGCTGCAACGCGTCACGGGTGCCGCGAGAACCTACACCGCCATAGACACGGTGGTGGCGGACGACGTGGACGAAATTGCCAATTACCCGACCGAGTTTTTGAACTCGCTGGAGCCCGACGGACTTCCTCCGTACAGGCTGACGCTGGTGGTCGGTTCCGTGGTCATGCTGCTGCAGAACCTCGATCCGAAAATCAGACTGTGCAACGGAACAACGTTAGTGGTTACGGAACTGAGGCGCAACAACTTCAAAGCGAGGTTAGGTTAGGCGCAGGGGAAGGGCAGGACGACATCGTCATCCCCAGGATACCGCTGTCGTCCAGCGGAGACGACGACCTGCCCTTCACCATGCGTCGGGTTCAGTTCCCGGTGAGACTTTCGTTTGCGATGACGATCAACAAGTCTCAGGGTCAAACTTTTGACAGAGTTGGTTTGTTTCTGCCGTCCCCGGTGTTTACGCACGGACAACTGTACGTTGCGTTCTCACGAGTGCGGGACTCGGAATCAATAAAAGTTGGTATGTACGGTGGCGACGACGGTCGATTTATCACAAGGAATATAGTGTATTCAGACGTGTTGTGATCGGCCGTTTTTGTTCAACCTTAACTTGAGCAGTGCAATTACACTTAATACTTATTAGTTATTACAGTCTAAATCACTTATGCCGATAATTTTTAATTATTTGCTATAAACCTAACCTATATGCGACAGCGGGTACCTGTGTGCTCCGACCTGTGTGGTCCGACCTTTGTGGTCCTGTGGAGAGAAAGTTTGACAACCTCCCCGTGGTTCTCTCTGGATGCTTATTCACTGCAAAGTGAATTCGTAACTAATGTCAAACGTTTTGAAATTAAATTAATTAACTGGTTTTCAGCATACTTATAGAATTAACATTTTCAGGCTGTTGAAAAATGGTGAACAACTGTGTTTGGTGTGGAAACATTGATGCCGCCATGGAGTTTCTATACACAAGTAAGTATGAACCATTTACGTCCCAATGAACATGACCGTTACACTCACATTCACATTTATATTTAGGTTTCGACGGATATGGACGCAGTTAGTGCAACACCATGGGTCACAAGTCTATCAAGTTGTGTTCGAGGTTTTTTGTTTCTGGAGACTTCTCGACACAACACTGAGGTTATTATGAATATTTGCATTAGTATTTGTTCATTTGCCACACATATCAAAACCACCAAAATGTGTTTCATTTGTATTAATCACAACTTAATACTCTTATAACAATTTACTTTCATTGACCAAATGCTTTTAATGTTTATATTTTATTGTAAAACCTTATATTCATGAGTATACTTCGATATTCTTCATTATAAATGTTAATGCATTTGATTTTCTGTGATCACTGTTAACTATTACTTGAGAACTATTATATGTTGTATGTGTTATTCTTATTCACTATTCACTATACAATTTAATATTTTTGTCATGTTCTCAGGTTAATTTATTATCAGAAATATTTCATTGACTTTTATTTTTAATGTTTAACTACCCCGTGTTCAAGATATACTGACGTTGTGCTTAAAGTATCTTTACCAAACAAAATGACAAATTTGATTCTGCCTCACTCTTTTAAGAACTACATTATACTATAAGCTTATTCATTAAATTCATTAACTGGTATATTGTATTTTTAGGCTGTTTTGTGTGGAAACATTGAGATACAAACCACAACATGCCAGGCCAACACAGCACTGCACTGCTACCTTCGACAGTGATATTATTGGTTCAGTTCCCACTCTGTGTTTCATTCATGTTAACCACAACTGAAAACCCTTAGAAACATTTTTGAAATGACACCCAACAAAATGACAAATGCTTTTAATGTATAAACTAATGTATGTATTTGTTTTACTTCTTATTGTTAAACCTTATATCATCAAAAAAGACAAATTTAATTCTGTGATCACTGTAAATATTGTCGCTGTATTTAACTTAAAAGATTAATTATGTTATTGTATAACCTTATATTCGTACTTTAATGTCTATGGACGACTGTCGAAGTACTATATAATAGAAATTGCTATATTTTGTAACATGCCGTATCATTACCTATTTGTTCAATCGCAATTGTAATTACCTTATAACTATGTAACATTGTGTTCAAACTGTAAAATACCTACAACACGTTGAATTTTTTATTTTTTAATGTCTTTACCGTGCGTAGGTAAATTGTTTTATGTACTTATCAAACATCTATCTGGTTATTGTATAACCTTAGATCCGTACTTCAATGTCTATGGACGACGGTCAATGTTCTATATTATAACAGTATGATTTTCCTTTGTATTTTGTTTCTTAAGTATCAGTATTAAAATTAGTCAAATTAAATTAACCTCAACTTTTTGTAACATGTCGTATCACTATCTATTTGTTCAATCGCAATTGTAATTACCTTTTAACCATGTAACATTGTGTTCGTACTGTAAAATACCTACAATACATTGAAGTTTTTATTTTTTACTGTCGATACCGTGTGTAGGTAAATACACTTTTGTTGTTTGTGCTTATGATATGATGGTTGGTTAACTGTGACTGTAGTATTTCAATTATTATACATATTATTACGTTTGATTATACTTATTATTATTATACTTATTGTGTATTACTTTTATTATTATATATTACTGTCTATAGATGATAATACACATATATTTAACATTATATAGTTGTTAGGTCTTTATCTCTGAGTATGATCAATTATTGGTTTAAATCCATAACTAAAATATTAGTGTCGGCACGCCGTTTGTCGATCAACTATTGATGTAGACTATTCCAACTAACACTATAGATAACAGTCATACCTTAATTGTTCATCTATGTAGCACGTAGCTAATAGCTTGGAACACATCTTATCATAAGAAAAAAAAATATTTATTAATACTCTCATGTATAGTAACATTTATCACACTACTATTATTTTTATTAATATGTTGCTGCTAATATTAAAAAATTTGGAAAGTCATTACACTAATTGGTACTGAAAAACAGATTTATAGTTTAGTTATTGCAATAATTGCAATTATTAGTCTAATTATTAGTTATTATTATTACTAATTATTAGTCTAATGACCGTTGCTAAGCTATTTGAATAGCACCTACATATTATAATCATTGATTATAAATACTTATATTATTTATATATATATATGTATAAATATATTTATAATCAATGATATAATATACTAATTGTCACAGATAACACTTAACTACTTTATATTCTCAACAACAATATTATTAATTATTTTATATTATCAATTACTTTTTAGTGTTTACATTATTTTATGTAACAATACGATTATTTATCAGTCCATATTAACAACAATGTACGCTATACAAATATTTTCAATTGATTACAACACTTGCCCGACAATGTCATTACAATGTGGGATTTTATAAAACTACTAAATTTAAACACCAGTGGACTACAGTTATAATGATTAATTATCTTTTAGCACATTTTGTGAAGTAAACCCTATTCTGATGAATAAAATCAAGATAAGGTTTTCAACACTTACATTTCAAACCAGCAACACACATCACTTACCTATTCTATTATTACTAACTAATAATATATTACTGTTGTTAACCAACTACTAAAATATTTAATGACACACCTCACACACAATTGTCAATTGACAAACGTTACTGTTACAGTTCATAAAACAATATTGGGATCAAGGAAATAATAAATAACAATAAAAGTTACATGAAATGGTGCTTTATTCATTCTGAAAAATATTTTAAAAAATACAATTGTTAAATAAATTATGAAGTAGACAAAATCGTCCAATTGAAACTTACCATCCTCCATGACCTCCCACCTCCCACTGCCTTCCGACCCGATCACACTGAAAATGATGTATATAATTATATTTTTTTAATATTTTTATTTATATAATATTGACTATTCTTACGTTGGAGTTGTGGCGCTGAGTTGAGGAGTTGAGGAGGCGGTCGTGTACCCCCCCCCCACCTCCTCACCCGTTGATCGCGGTGTCGAGGCTGCGGCCGGCTCCTCCACCGACATTTGACCGACAAAACTACTGAAAACAATACATTTTATGTTTTTGATGATAATTGACATATTTTGGTATTTGCGATCTTACCTTAACCCACGGCCCCGCCGCTGCTGCGGTTGCCGCTGCCGCTGCGGTTGCCGCTGTTGTTGTTGGTGCGGTTGCCGCTGTTGTTGTTGGTGCTGCTGCCGCTGTTGTTGTTGGTGCTGCCGTTCCTGCTGCGGCCCCGACGAGGACGCGCCCGGCGATGCCGCAGGCACCACGCAGGGGGAGTCTGATAAAATTTACAAAAGCTTAGCACGTGAAAAAATAAATAATAGGACAAACTTACCGCAATTTCTCGCCAGGTGACCCACCTGTCGGCACCTGTAACATCCTGAAACGTACAAATCATGTTTAGTGTTATACTTGGCTTATGCAATACGCATGTGCTTTTTTCTATTAGATACTTACGTCGGGCGTTTCCTCCCGGACGCCGCACGGGGACAGCATTGTGGTATACGGGTGCATTGTACACCCGCATACCACGGCCGTTGAAACTTTGACGACTGTAATTGTCTTTCGGCATGCTAGATTTCAAAAAAAAAAAAAATTGTTTTATTCAAATACGTAACCATAACCTAAGAAATATTATTTTAATACTATAAGCGACGTGTACTCACTTCAAAGATGTTTTGAGAAATGATTGATAAAAACCAAACA